TAAATGAAAAGCAGTCTTAGGCCTTAAGACCAAAATGTTTTGTATGTTATTGTACTCTGAAATAGTGTGAGTGTGTGTGTTTTCCATAAATGCATGTTTCTTTGATAGAAAATAATGTACTGCACTAGTATGAACTCATTAGTGTATTAGTACTTGGAAAATAATGGTAGGTAGTCTTATTACTTAAAATAAAACCACTGAAGTAATGTTTGTTTTGTAAACCGAAGTGGTTAGTTAATGTTTAATGTGAATGAGATTATAACCACACTTAATTGTGTAACACCCCGATACTCAGGTATTGATTTAATGTGTGAGTTTCTTGATTTCAAGGGCTACTCGACGAGTTGATTGCCCTACTCGTTGAGTAGCAGCGGGTTGGTCCGCGTATTTTAATGACCTACTCGTCGAGTCCAAGAAGGGACTCGACGAGTAGGAGCTGGCAGATGAAACCCTAAATCTTGGGGTTTTGCACCCTATATAAAGGATCATTGGCCTTCCCCCCAGCCTCCCCTTTACTGCTTCTTGTCCCTCTCAAACCCTAATCGAGTGTGTGTGTTCCATTTGTGTATTCTTGAGCTTGGAAGAGGATTTTGTGGAGAAGGGAGCTTGGAGAGCAAGTATTCAGAAGCAAGGAGCTTGTGGGATCTGAAATCTACCTTATTGGGCATCTTCTGGAAGGTATAAATCGTTACCCTGACCTCATTTCATTCTAGATCCCCTTTTTGGACAAATTCTAGGGTTTTCATGGTATGATTGGAAGCTATTCTTGTGTGCAAGCTAAGATCTGAAGTTGTAACTTCAGAACTGAGCTCCCTTGGGCTTCTGAGTTCATAAAGTTCCAGCTTGTGCAAGGATGAGACTCTCCCAAGGTGTAAAGCTCCATTAGAAGCTTAGATTGGTCATTTAGGGCCTTTAGAGCCTTGCATGTGCGTAAAGTTTGCAACTTTACATGATAAACATGCCTTAGAAGCTTGGATCTGTAATCTGGAACCTTGCCATGGCTTAAAAAGCGTCTGCATGGATAAAGGTCTGCAAGGACTCGACGAGTTGGATGAACAACTCGCGAGTCCGTTGAAGATGGCCATGAACTCGACGAGTTGATGAACAACTCGGCGAGTCCGTTGAAGATTGCCTTGAACTCGGCGAGTCGTTCTAAGACTCGGCGAGTCGGCTAGGGTTTCTCCCAATTCTTGGACACGTATGAACTCGGCGAGTTAAAAGGGAACTCGACGAGCCAATCAAGGATTTCACGACTTCTCGAGTTCAGGAAGGACTCGACGAGTCGGTGAACTGCACTCGACGAGTCGAGTCAACATGGACTGTTGACTTTGACTGTGGACTTTGACTTAGACCAGGGGTTGACCAGTTGACTTCTAAGGGTATTCTGGTAATTTGGAGATTTATGAAAAAGGGTTTTATGGTAACTATAGGTGGTGGAGTTCGTGTTGGTAATCTGGGAGTTGAGCTTTCTGGTTTCAGACGACAGTTGCGAGGTGAGTTATCCTCACTATACTAAGGGGTCTAAGGCACCAAGGCCGGCCCATTGGATATGTTATCCTAGCAGTGGTTATGTTGAGTATCAGTTAGTGCTGCAGGCTAGTGGTTATGTCAGTTAGGTAGATTTGTAGGACTACCTGTGTTGTTATATGAATATCTGTATGCTCAGTAGTTATGTTATATATGGATATGTTATGTGGGATGGGTTGAGGTGATACTGCTCTATGCGGTAACCAACAAACCCGAGAGTATTCCAGATATGAGCTGAGGGCCCGGTAGGCATTCCAGACTCATACTGAGGACTCGGGAGCATTCCAGATACGAGCTGAGGGCCCGGTAGGCATTCCAGACTCGTACTGAGGGCCCAGGGGTAATCCAGCTTGTAAAGTTGTGGACCCATTGCATGCTGTTTCAGTTGTTATGATATGTTATTACTGATGTGGTTATATGGACTGTATGTGTATCGGTATTTTTGGTGGGTAACTCACTAAGCTCTCGGGCTTACAGTTTCAGTTTATTGTTTCAGGTACATCAGGGGATCGCGGCAAGGCGAAGGCATGATCGTACAGCTCCTCACTTTATGTTTATGTTTCTGGGATATACTCTGATAAATAATATTTTGAAAACAAAGATGTAATGTTTGACGAATTTGATGTGTTCTTAAAAGTTTAACTTTGCTTGAAATTTTTGGGTGTTACAAATTGACTAGTATTCTACACGACGTTCTTCAGGCGTCGAAAAGTTATGACATTTGTCACCCGTAGACCTGCCGGTCCCAACTGTAGCTAACAGCCAAGGTGCGGGATTGTTAGTCCCGTATATATCTATACACAAACTCACGCTCTCCATCCAGGAGACTCTGGTTATAAAACATGACTTAGCAAGAACATTACTAAGCACCATGAAGTAGTATATCACACTTTAGTATTAACTTGTTTACGTATAGTAAGTATATGTTCTCTTGTTCTTGTAAATGAATAATGTACTTGCAATGAAAGTAGTTTGTAATTATGTATTGACTCATGTAATGTATTTTGAACAAGTAGCAGTGTGAATAGATCTCAAAACTATACCTATTATAGTTTCCTAATGTTATGTTTGTACTGAACTGATTGAAAATGTTGTTGAAATAAGTTTAATACTCATATATATACTTAGCATGTATAATTAAAGTTTAACTGACAGTCGGACAGGTGATCCTACCCAAAGCCAACAACCAAACAAGGAACATGAGTCAAGGTAAAAGCACTAGTCCTAAGTCTGTTAAATCCTGATTATACATAAGGATATATATATGAATATGATTTGACAAAAAGGACAATTTAAGAGTTTGAAAACAGTTTAAAAATAGTTTAATAAGTTTATAAAAGCATTAGAATCTTAAGAATGGTTTGTAATCGCATGTGAGTGTTAACACAAATATGTTGTGTTCTACGTGTATTCTCCCCCTGAAATCATTTAAAAATGGTAAAATATAGGGGTAGGAACTCACCTTATGTGAGTGACCGAGTGAAGATGTAGTGTAGTAGCAATGATCCTCTAGTTTAGAAACCCGTGTGAGAAGTCGTATTCTAATAATAATTATGCACGATATTGAAGCTAAATTAATAAATATATTAATTAAATTGTTAGACAACACGAAATTATGTAAGAAATACTTACAATAATTTCTTAGAATATTCGAAGGTGTTCTTGGCGTTCTTGGTGTGTTCTTGGTGTTTATGTGAATCTTCAAAGGGGTTCTTGGTAAAGGATATGAAGATCTTGGATGATACTTGAGAGAAAATGAAAGGAATTCGGTTGGTACTTGAGAGATAAATGAAAGAGTGTTCGGTGAGAAATGTGAGAAGTGATTTGTAAATTCGGTTATACCAATATATAAGGGTGTGTTCGGCCTTAATGGGCCTCCAAATGAAGTGATTCCGGTTTCTAGTCAAAGGTAGGAAAGGAAATTCGGTCTTGCTACCACAAATGGTGTGAATTCAGTTTCAAGTCCAAGAAAGAAAAGGAAATCGGTTTTAAGTCAAACCAAGAAGGGAATTCGGTTTTTGCTTTATATAAATGAGGTGAATTCGGTTTTGCTTAAGGGATTAGATTCCCTTGGCCGAATTTACAATAAACCTATGTATTTTTGTGATTTATGTTAGTTACTAAGCTTGTATAAGTTCATTTTTAACAAGGCATTACATAAATACCCACACACTAGTTAAATAAGCATGCACACAAGGTATTAAAACTTCTTATTGCAACAATTTATGTTGTAAGTTTACTTGCACATGGTTGTAGTTTAGACTCCATTTGAATTAGTTTGACTTACATTGACTCGAAATAACAGGTTGTCACATAACCCACTTGAATTGATAACAACTACACATCGTAAAGGAAAAGTGGACTCAATTTTAAATCACAAAAACAAAGATAAATAAATAAATCTAAGGATAAATTATAATGTGATTTTATACAAACCAAATGGATGTAACCTATCAAATTTTAAACTTAGGGACCAAAACTAAGAATTAAACCAAACCATAAGGACCATTTCTAAAATTTACTTTTTTTTCCACTTATTATATGAGATATAATATGTCATTTTCAATTTCTTATTACTTTAGGGCAAGGCCTAAAATTTTGTTACGAATTTGCTTAAAACTAAAGGTTGTTATAAATATGGGCTAAACTTTTTTTTTTTTAAATGGACCTTAAAAGCGCAAACCACATAGACAATTTTTGTATTTTTTAAATTTACCAAATGTTAATACTCACATTGTCTTCCTTATCCTACATGAAATCATATGTATTATATGAAGTAACAACTTGCTTTTCGAAATGGTTTTTCCGCTGAGAATTTAGCAAGTTATATACATACCATGTAAGTAAGTGAAAAGTCATTTCATAAGCTAGATGTTATTTTAGAAAATACATATGATATCATATAGGTTAATGAAAAACTATGTCGATTTAAGATAAGTGAGAAGCCATTTCATAAAATTACATGATATTTCAGATACTACATATGATGTCATGTAGGTTAATAAAAAAATTACATAAACTTTAAAACACGATAAACCAAAAATAAAGTGTCACGTTGGCCAAAGTGAATTTCTTCTTCGTATTAAAAAAAGAATCATAATAACAAGCAAAATATAGTGGTTTTTACGTATATTACTTGTTGGTCATACAATAATTTTAGTTTTTATAAAATCTGAATTTTGAATATCGTAATTCTATTAATATTCATAGTTATTAGTTCTTTTAATATTTGATTTTATTATATATTACAGTTTTATTTATTTGACATTAATATAATAAGTTAATCTGTATTACATTGGGTTTTTTTTTTGTAAAGTTTAAATATATAACTAACTAACATACCAAGTATTAAAAAAAAAAAGTTGAATGATTCAGTTATATTTATTTTTGCTTAACAACTTTCACCATCTATTTTGACTAAAAAAATGAAAACCGATTATAAACGGTTTAATTTCGATTTTGATCAAACTCAAACCCAAACCCAAGCCTTGATGGGCAGATTAACGTTCCCTGTAACTGTAACGCCTGTCCCTGAAGCCACGGGGAACTCCTCCCTCCCTCATGCTTCTTTCTCTCCATCTCTTCCTCCCTCATCAACTTAGATCACCATCTCATGGCGTCGTCTGTAAGTTCCTCTCTTTCAATCTTAAATTCATTCCATTATGCCATGGCTACAATCACATATTTCCCCTTTCCGTTTAATCTACCATTCTTTTCTCAAAATCAAAATTTGAATTTGGGGTTTTTATTGTTTTTCAAATGTAGCAACCCCGGCCATTACCGAAATTCGGCGAATGGGATGAGAAGAATTCATCTGCAGATTCATACACGGTGATATTCGCAAAGGCAGGGGATGAGAAGAGAGCCAACTCAACCGGCACCGGTGCACAACAGAAGAATAACAAAGGTCCTCCTCCCTCTCAACCGCCGCCGCCTAAACATGAAATGGAGCCAACGGTAGACGACAATACGCGATTTCCTCTTTTTCCATTTCTGGTTTCCGTTGAAATTGTTGGCTAATTTCTTTGGATATTGTTTGTTGCAGCCGTCTAGATTTTGCTGTTTCTGAAGATTATTAAGGTGCCATTGTCAACAAAATTTCAGGCGATGCTGTGTGGTTCTTGATGGATTCATGAAAGCTTCAAAAGAATGATGGCTGGTTTGATTGATGGTGAGACCAAGGTTAGGGTTTGTCAATTCGCTTTTTCCATTCACCGTGAACCCGAGAACTACAAGACTATCTATCTTGTTTATGATTAGTGAGTTTATAGGGCTTATTAGATTGTTCGATAAACGTTTGTATGGCATTAGAATATTTTCATAGGTCATGTATAGTTAATCAATTATAATTTCATTCATTTTACTTGGATTGAAAAAGATCACCATTAAAGCTTTGAAAATGCCAGCGAATCAAGCAACACAAACGCTTTTTGCGAGAATTATGAGCTCTAAATCTACTGCTTATGAATTCTACTTTTTCTTTCTTTGATACCTAATGACTAATGTACGTATGAATTTCTTGCAACTCGTGGATATCGCAAATTTGTTTGGTAACACAAACTAGTGAGGTAACTAATAGTTTTAGGCTTTTCCGTTGAAAAAATGATGACCGGGTAAAATCATTAAAAACTCGTATACTTTGAGGCTGTTATGTTATTTTCCCTTTGTGATATTACATTACATATGTCTATTTGATCATTTTTGTCATCGTCTCATGTTTTAAATTGCATGGATCTCACCACCTTATTTTTTTTTCTTTTCCTCACATTATTTTTTCCTTTCCTCATTTCCATCAAAGATTTTATGTGGATTCAACATTTTATGGCCATTTTATCATAACAAACATTCACCACAAACTTAAATTTTTGGGGTTGACAATCACGTTACAAAACGTATTAATTGGAAAAGATAAACTCTAAAGTATATTAAAGTGGATAAAGACCATGTCTAGCCAATCTAAGACTTCAACACACCCCGTCATATGGAGGCTTTATGAGATAAGAGTAGATGTATTGAGCCTACGAGGTGAGGTGCGGTGAACTGATACCATATGTCCATATTAATATTCGTTTAATATATGGAGTCCTTGAGTTTCTCTCTAGAAAAACTCTTGAGGAAGATAGACTAGCATATATGGAAGTGGATGACAGCGTGTTTAGCCATTATGAGACTCCATGATTTGGTATGATCAATTTTAGGAAGCCAAAAAATGGTGGAGGGGATCATTGGTGATGATGTTCTTGTCACAAAGGACAATAAGACTACCATTAATGTGGTGGTCTCATTTACGTGTTGAAGGGACTCAAATGAGCCTTGAATGAACACCATAGAATTTTTTACTAAATTAATATATTAGAGGTTTTGGTATTGAGTTTTATAAATCTAGTGAAGTCAATTTGAGATATTTTGAAATCGTGCCTTGGATCTTTATATGTGTAAAGAAAATGTTGAAATGTCATTTAATGATATGTCATGAAGACTGGATCTTAAAATCCTTTAAAACATTCATAATGATGAATTTAATGGGAGAGTTAAATAATTTGACAAGTCTATTTTTTATTCAATGAATTAAACTTTATCATATTGAGATGCTACATTGACATTCAACAGATTTAGAGTTTAATGATCATTGAATTCCTCAATGGGAAGAAGAAAGTTTTTAATTCTTAAATATATACTATAAATTAGCTTTTGTAATTTTTTTATTGAACTTTGTAGAGTTCAATGCATTGTAAAAAAAATAGATAGAGTTATATGAAATATAAAAAAAAATGATATAGCAATCCATTGAACTCTATTAATATATTGTGGATGTCCTTACCTGCTATATCGGTCAATAAACAGCTAAACATTGGTGTTTTCCCTTGCAATCACTTAATACATATAAAAAAGAAGTTCGTCAAAATTAAATGTGACATAAGAAAAATAAATTAGTATTTTGTAATCTTAATCCAAATAAACTCAATCGGGTTTTGACATATGTCGACGAAAATATCTAAGACATTATAAATAACATTATGATAATGACAAGTTGACAACAACTTAAAATGTATCAATTTGTTTATCACGCGATAAAGTTTAAGTCGTAGCTGATTTTCACTTGAAAAAGGGACTACATCATTTCAACATCTCTAATAAATAGTAACAGTTAAACAATACTATTTTGTTTTGTTTCGTACTTTTTTTTAACTAAATTATTTGATAGATAATAATTTGTTTGATTAATAGTGAGAGTTAAATCGCATATAAATATAGATAAAGTGACGTAACCTAGACCCTAATTATTAATATCCCATGCAGTTTGATCGGGAGGAGACGATTAAACTGGAAAAACAAAAACATAAAACATAAAACATAGGTGAAGATAAAAAGCAGAAGAGGAAGTCGAGGAGACCAAGAACTGGACGCATTGGTAACGGCGAAGGGCGGAACAAGATTTTATAATAAGGGGGGCATACATCGTAATAAGATCGAAAACCTTTCTCCACGATCACAAACTATAGAATCAAATTTTACCTCTTAAATTTAACATATCATATTTTTAGGTTTACATTAATAGGTTCTTTAACATTACTCTTCTTTTAGGTTGTAGGCGTATATCGTCTTTCCTATTATTATCATTAACAAGATGCTATGTGGATAATAAAAGTTATCTTTTTGTTTGAAAAAAAAAACTAATGGCTCTTTAGTTGCTTCTTATTTATCATTTAATTGTACAAGACCAAATTACTCCTAATAAAATTATTATTAATTTATAGATTACAAAAAGTTAAAACTATCTTCTTCTATGTTATTGATAAATAAACTTAGGAATCTTGTATAAACCAAAAAGATAAAAATTGAAGTTGCCATTAAATGGCCACCGCCACCGACTTTTAACAGTTTAAATGGTACCATAATTAAAAGAAATTGAAAGTGTGGGGTTTTAAACTTTCAATGCCTTTATCATTTATACGACTCATCAGTTTTGGAGGAAATCGGCTTATAATTAGGCTTAGGTGGGTCGAACTAAGTTTATTTTACATTAAAGGAGATGAGATTAGGGGGGTTGAGACATCCGGCAACCCCGGTACTGTCTCCGCCCATGGTGAAGACTGGATATGCAGGCATCGGCTGTGGGGAAGAACTTATGTCCGACAAAGTCGGCGCTAAAAGACGTTGGAGAAGTCAACATAGGCTACGAAGATTGTTTATATGGTAAATGTTTTCTTTCGGAGGAGAAAAAGGAGGGGAGATTGGAGAAAGGAAAAATTGGACAGAGAAAGCACCTCCGACGACTATTAGAGAAGGTTGTCGGAGGTGGAGGGCGGGTGTTGTGGGTTGTGGTCAGTAGTAGGGTTTTAACCTTGAACTTTGATATCATGATAGATAATAATTTGCTTGATTAATGGTGATGTTAAACCTCATATAAATAGGGATACAAAAGTGGTCTAACCTAAACCCTAATGATCTTTGGCATAAACCCTAGTCACTAACATTATTCTAGTCACTAACATTATTCTATTATTTAATAAAAAGACCAAATTTTACACTTTAAACAATTTGAGTCCAACCATAACACACAACTACAGAAGTACCATTAAAAATAATCCAAGTATGAGTTAGTGAATATCATACAAAGTATTCTCTAATGAATTCTTTAGAACAAGAGGGGTGTTTTTCGTAATGTACTAGATCTCTTATAGATAATCATAAAAAAATGGTAAATTGAACTATAAAGGACTCATATCAACCCATCTTAAGGTCTATGTGGTTGGTTAATTGTGAAAAATTAACAATATTTTAGGTATATCAGGGTTTAAACAATGAACATTGTGTTGAAATTCCACACTTCAACCATTAAACTTGCATCACAATGTTGTATAAATATTATATTTAAGGGGTGGTGGGTTCGTCAGTCTTTTGTTGGTTGTTTAACTCTTAAACAATTACATGATAAGATATTTCTATTTGCGAAATCAAATATCATCCTATATTTTTTTCCTATTTATATTTCTATATTTTTTTCCTATTTATATTTCTATTCAGTAGATCAAACACAAATGTCAAAATCAAGTGAATAAATTAATAGAGAGAATTAGTGGTATCCACATATCATAATCTTATATGAATAGGGGGATAAATAACAAGAAAAAATTAGAATGATATTTAAATTTTCTATTATTAATAAACAAATGTGTTTACGGGTATCCATCGGTATTAAGGCATCTTCAACCTCACTTCATTTTTTGCATCATTTTGTGTAAAAGAATTAAATTACACCAAAATGGTGCCAAATTTTTCGATTGGCAATTTTGGACTTTTAAAATTTAGGTTTATATATTTTTAGTTAATTTTTATTGCTCGGTTATAATTTAAATTTAGTGATAGGTACAAAAATGATCATCTAAAATTTAGGAATATTGGGAAATAACCCAACTTTTTCAGTTTAACCAAAATGTCAACCGTTTTAAATTAACTTTATGTCACGTTAAAAGTACATATTTTGATTTAAAAAAAAATAAGGAAAAAAGAAAAACTTATTCAAATTTTGGATTTCAAAAGAAAAAAACATACTTCAAATTTCAAAACATGTCTGAAATCCCGAAGAACTAATCTGAAATGTATAAAAAATAGTACTTTTTTTTATTGAAATCTAAAAAAATAAAAAAAATAAAAAAAATCAAACTCTTAGCAATGCGAAGTAGGTTACGATACAAGTCAATAAGATTAAATATATTAGTTAATATATAAATGATTATAATAAAATTTTCGTATTTGGAAAGCTAAAGAATTTTCTATAAAAAATTTAATGCAAATGAGAAAAAAATGCACATTAAATATTTTTGAATTCCAAAACATCCATTTCTTAATTGATGGTCATTTTGGCATATACCAAAAAGTTAGGTCATTTATCAATATTCAATAATAATATTTGGCCATTTTTTGTGAATATTTAATAATTATTACTTTGTAATATCATGTTATACATTTATTAATATTAGTTAATCATAAATAAAAATTCAATTTTTTGTTTCAAATTTATAAAAAATAGAATACATTTAAAAAAAGTTAATATACGATTTAATATTTGTAATAATATGATTTATAAAGTTATAAGTTTTATATAATATAGTTTATAAAGTTAAAACTAGATGAAATGATGTTTTTAGCCAATCTATACAAGTTACAGAAAATGAATATATATTTGGGGATATAAAAATAATATAATCATTGTTTGTACGATTTTTTTTTTTATTATTATTATTATTATTATTATTATTATTTTGTTTATGATGTTGAAAGATGATGTTATGGGTTAGAAAGATCTTACAAATTAAAAGATTATA